GCAAGGTTGCTACAGACACTCGTCCCCATGCCCACCACATTCTTGGGTCCTGCTCTCAGTCCAAGACCTTGCCAGGCTGTCCCATAAGAAGTACTCCACCCACTCTGTGCCCACCCTATGCAGATCAAAATAAGTCATATCTATTGAGCACTTACAGTGTGTCAACCTGTGCTAAATAATTTATGTGGATTATTTTATTTAACCCTCATAACAACTCTAAGGGAGAAATACCATCATTGCCCCATTTTACACATTTTGAAGAAATGGAGGATCCACAGAATTTAATCACTTGCCCAAGACTGCAGGTCCCGGTAGATGGTAGAGCCACTGGCCTGAGTCCTACGTTAGACCTCCTCTCTGGACTCCTGAGAGGTAGCTGCATTTTCTATACCTGTGTACTTAGATCTTTCAAATTCTGCACAGAGCTGTAGGTAAAAGTAATATATACAATTTACAGGGGCAAGTAAAATAGAGGTTGCCTCTAATTGCTTGGAATCAGAAAGCACAACTATGATGGAACTCAAATTGGAACCTGGATCTCTGGACTCCCAATTAGTTCTCTCTCCACTAGATCACACTCCCTACTCCTCAGTCCTTGGAAAATAGATGATAAATTTTATAGAGAGCTAACTCTCAGTTACCTATAGCTCATAACAAGTGCCTGCAGATGCTGGTTTACTTTCACATCACTGCCCTGCAGTCAGCTCTGGGGCATCTGCCAGAATCCTGCGGGTCAGCTGTCTCATGCTACTGTGGCAAAAGAAGGAAGAAAGGCAAGCAGGAGGAGAGCAAAGGAGCAGAAGGAGCTTGGTTGTGGGAAACACAGAACTTACAAAAATCAGGGGAACATTAATGGTTGCAGAGTTGGATGTCAAGACTATGTTGCCCTCAGTATTTGTGCAGATGGAGACAAGTTGAGATGGAATTCCATCCTTATATATCATTTTCCACTTATACATATGGACATTAACTTAACATAAGGGTAAATCTGGTGGGAGAGGGGCCCAGGCACCATGTCTGGCCATGAAGCTGGCAAGAAGACCACGAAACAGCCCAAGAAGCAGCCTGAGGAGAGGGATGAGAAGATAACATTTTCTAGCAGAAGCAGAAAGAAGAGCAGAAGAAACTCAAAGAGCTAAAAGCAGAGTCTGCAGGGAAGGGCCCTGGGCACAGGTGGAATTAAGAAATCCGGCAAAAAGCAAGCTGTTTCTTGTGCCTGAGGCCATGGTGATCCCGGATTCCATCTCTAAACATCTGAATTCCCTGCTGTAACGTCCTTTGCCTCTATAGTTAGAACGAAGTGTCATCTTGGAGCCTGCTGTACATTTCAGAATCAACTTTTGTAAAAATGAATAAAGTAGGCCGGGCGTGGTGGCTCACGCTTATAATCCCAGCACTTTGGGAGGCCAAGGCCGGTGGATCACAAAGTCAAGAGATTGAGACCATCCTGGTCAATGTGGTGAAACCCCATCTCTACTAAAAATACAAAAATTAGCCGGGCATGGTGGTGCGTGCCTGTAATCCCAGCTACTCGGGAGGCTGAGGGAGAATTGCTTGAACCCAGGAGGCGGAGGTTGCGGTGAGCCAAGATTGTGCCACCGCATTCCAGTCTGGGTAAGAAGAACGAAACTCCGTCTCAAAAATAAATAAATAAATAAATAAATAAATAAATAAATAAATAAAATAGAAATGAAAGCAAATCTAAACCAGAAAATAAGCAAGTAATGTTAAAAGCTAGCGCTTTGGCAGGTCTGTAAGGACTTGCATGCACAGGCAGGTTTCATGTGAGCTGTTGAACCTCTAGTATCAGCAGTATGACAAAACTGAAAGTACATGGCAGTCGTTTAAAAATTTCCAAGGAGGAATGGTCATGATTAGAGCAAATGCATTACAAGGCTCAATATGGAGATTATTCACATAGGTGGTATTTGGCCACGGTGCCTTGTAGCAACAAAGTGTAGCACGTTCACTGTTAGCAGAGTGAACTGTTACTGTCCTGTTTTAGTTATGATTGTCTTTATTTTGAATTCTCAGTAATTTCTAATGCATCTTCTTGAAGATCAGAGTGGGTTGTTCTGTTTAAGAAATTATAGTCATAATTTATATTGGGTAAAGCTACTCAACTCTTTTTGTTTCTATTATCTGGAGATATTTACATCATTTTTTTTTTCAGGAGATAAACTGAAGGCATGAAATACATGTTCAGCGCCAGTGTAGTGGCTCATGCTTGTAATCCCAACACTTTGGGAGGCTGAGGAGGGTGGATCACTTGAGGTCAGGAGTTAAAGACCAGTCTGGCCAACATGGTGAAACTCTGTCTCTACTACAAATACAAAAATTAGCTGAGTGTGGTAGCGGGTGCCTCTAATCCCAACTACTTGGGAGACAGAGGCAGGAGAATTGCTTGAACCCAATAGGCAGAGATTGCAGTGAGCCAAGATTGCACCACTGCACCACTCCAGCCTGAGAGATAGAGCCAGACTCCATCTCAAAAAAAAGAGAGAGAGAGAAGTACATATTCAGTGCTGAGATTTATTTAAAGGAGCAACAAGGGTATAAAAGAAGAGTGTGGTAAATCTTGAAAATATAAATGACTATGTGATCTCTCAAAGGGGCTTTTGGTACAATTCCTGATGACTAGAATGTGCGACTCTCATTAACTGCACCTTAGAATGGTGCCTGGTGCATAGTCAGCTCTCAGTGAGTATCTCCCCAATGAAGGACATAGATTTGCCAGCTTCCAGTAAGCTGCAGGATGCAAGAGCGGTGATGAAATGAAGAGTCATTATGGAAATATCAGCTAACATGCTTGGAGTAAGGAAAAAACATAAATTGTTTCAGAGATGGGCAAGCTTTTTCACAGAGTTAAAAGCTGAGAGAATGGTCTGATATAGGGGAGAGAGTAAGGATGACACAGGAGAGAGAGGGGCGTAGATAGCACAAGGCTCCTGAACATAGGAGGGGCTAGGACTTCCAGCAGAAGTAGAGAGTTTGGCTTACCTGAGAGGAGGAGCATTTGTTTTGTTTTGTTTATTCAGCAGTTAAAAAAAAAAAAGAAGAAGAAGAGATCACAGTTCAGGCTGTGTGGTAGATGCCTTATTTCCTTTCCTTTTTTTTTATTGAGACAGACTCTTCTGTTGCCCAGGCTGAAGTCAGGTTCAAGAGATTTTCCACCTCAGCCTCATTAGTAGCTGGGATTAAAGGTGTGTGCCAGCACACTCAGCTAACTTTTATATTTTCTGTAGAGACAGAATTTTGCCATGTTGGCCATGCTGGTCTTGAACTCCTGACCCCAAGTGATCCATCTGGCTTGGCCTCCCAGGTTTCTGGGATTACAGGCATGAGCGACAGTGCCTGGCCAGATGCTATATTTTCTACAAATTGGATGTTTTGTGGAGATTGACTAGAAATATGAACCATAGGGATGTGGAGGAAGTACTGACAAGGGGAGTGTCTAGGAGTGCTGGGAATATTCGAGCCCACCTGAAGCTGTGAAACACAAGCCCACAGTGGCACAGTCAGCACAGCGTCAGCAGGAGAGGCCAGGTATGGAGAAGAGGATGGAGGGGTTCGCTGAAAGATGGTCTGTTCAACCAGAGTGCCAGGTGGGTCATTGCACAGCCACCGAAATTTCCTAATGATGGTAGGACTTGTGTGATGAAGAAACCAATGGACTAGTAGCAGAGCCTTCAGTAAATGAGGGAAATGGCATGAGGGCAGACAGCAAAGATAAGGAGAGTCCATATTCATGGGGTGCAAATTTCATGCAGTCTCAAAAAGCTTAAATATGATCTGCACATGTACCCCAGAATCTAAAGTACAATTAACAATGAAAGAATAAATCATAAACTGCGAAAACCTTTAACTAAACTAATAACTGTATTAAACCTGGTTTTATATCTTCTTTATTATAAATACTTGCCTTTTATTTGACTTCTTCTAGTATAAATGTAGATAGATAAGAAATTTTAACAAATTCAGAGAAATATTTCTAAGGATGAGATAGGTTACTGTCAAACTAGAAATAGGGTGTTAATTTTAGTTATTTCCACAAATCCAAAAACAAAGATTTTTACAAGCATAGATTGTTAAATGTAACCACCAATGACATGCCTGTCTGTATGACATTGGTACTAAGTATAGTCATACACATGTACCCCAGAGGTTATACCAGAATTCACATTTTATTATCAAAAGGTCTTTGGGAAATGCAATAGTGAATCTTAATATTACAAGTTATTTTTGTTACTCTTAAGAACCTCATGATATCATGCTTATAAATAAAGCTTTAAGTTGTTTTTTTCCAATTATTTAGGAAAGTCAATGAAGGAAAAATGATCGACATTTTTATGTGTTCAAATGTAAGTTACTTAACTAATTTTCACATCTGCTGAACTAGAAATACAAATTTGCTTTAAAATTATTATTCTGCTAGATAAGTAAATTCAACAAAAGCTTTACAGGAATCCCAGGAATACCTACATTCCAGTGAACTCAAGTTCTTGAATCCTTGGAGAACTTTATTTACATTTCTGCATTTCTAATGTTGATCATGTGAAAATATTTTGCAGCAATGAGGACTTTTACTAATGCAAAACCAACTTCTGCCCTAATTTTACATGGCTTTAATATTAACACAATATGCCTGTGATTATGCTATACTTCAATGTTCATCAAATTGGTGGGTGGAACAAAATGTAAATAAATTATTCACATGCAAACATCCTTGTTCTTCAAAAACAGTTCATTGGGGAATCACAGGTACAGGTGATATAAAAATAAACTAAATAGAATATAGCTGCAAAAGAACACAAAAGTTGATTTGCAAACATTGGATATTGTCAGCTTGTATGGGGCATCATTAACATAGAACCAGTTTGTATATGAATTTTATAACTATTTTTAAAAATTGCAGATAGTAAAATCTAACAGCCAAATATCAATATTATCCCATTCTACTCCAGGCAGTAACTATTTCATGACTGCCTCCTTTGTGCCAGGCCCTGTGCAAAAAGTGCTGAGGATCCAAAGAAGTGAAAGGGTGAGCTTCTGGCTTCAAATGGAGAAGCTGAGGAGAGAACGTCTACCCACAAACATACGCACATGTATTATTTCAGCAAACCTGGCTTATGAAACGGAACATGAAGAAAAGAATCAAATTATTTGATTAATATATTTGTAAATATGGACAAAAATAAGTATATGCACTTTTGAAACAAAGGTCAATTATCTGAATAAATTGTTTACAGGTTTGACATCTTACTTTTGATTTTATTTTGAAATGATCATGATCTTCCTGCTTGATATTCCTGTGACCACAGCACCTTCTGCACAATAGGAATTCCATGAATATTGTTAAAAGAATCAGGACACAAAATAAAGAATGAACATTAAATATCTATATTCTAAAATGTTCATTTCAGAGAAATGTGCATCTTATGCAAAGAGGGTTGAATTATTATTAAGTGGCTAAACTAAGTGTAAATATCCATGAATAAAACATCACTCCTTATAACCATGGGGAGAAATCTGAAAGGATCATGTCAGTGTACTTTTTAAAAATACAGTTTAGCACGTCTGAATTATATCACTCCAGAATAAAAGGAAGAAAATAATACTGAGTCTTTCCTAGGGAGGCAAAATATAAAAATTGGGACTAAGTCATAAGTGAAGTAGTTTTACCAGAAAAATAAAAGTGCTTCTGAGCTTTGAGACGTTTATATATGTATATAAAGATTGCTATTTGAGCCACCACTCAGCTCTCTGACTAGTGTTGTAGCCTTATATTATTTATTCAGGGAGTGATATACTGTGAATCTTGAAAAAACAATTATGCACACTCCTAGGAACTTGCCATTCACCACTAACCCTCCCTACCCTAACCCAAAGCATCAGCCCCATAAGACTACACTTTTGGTTTTTGATAAAACGTAGCTTAGTTGCAAGTGTCTGAGTTCAGCTTTGATTATGATTTAATGAGATGGTATCACTTCCTTATTTAAAACCTTTCTAGACCTTTTTCATTTCCCCGTGGGAAAGTTTATACTCGTCACAAGGGTTATACGCACAGCCTTCGGTGATCTGCATCTTCATGGAAAACTTTTCCCACACTCTCTACTTGTCTACTCCTTTCTATTCTTCATGCTTCTGTTTACACTTTACATCCTTTGGGAGAAAATAACGTAGATTCTGAGAGTTGGGGGTAGGCACTGTGTTTTTCTAATTTACTTCTGAATTTCAAGCACCTAGCACAGTTTTTGGCTTGTATCATTTATTCATTCATTCATTGACTTATTCATCAAAAATATAGAGAGCATTTTCTAAAAGCCAGGCGTTGCTCTAGGCATGGGATTTAGAGTGGTTTAGTCCTTTTACTACTCTATCAAGTCTCTTTAAATGGGAAATAGGGCAGTGAAGTCCATGATAAAGTCCCCTTTTCCTGAATCTAGTAAGGAAGATAGTTAAGACATAAGGTAATTTCAGAAAGTGATAAAGGCTGTGAAAAATATAAATCATGGAGAAGTCAAGAAAAAGGTCATGATTTGGGCTGAGACTCGATGAAAAGAAGATAGCCATGTGTTGCTCTTAAGATAGAGCATTCGAGTAGGAGGTAACAGCATGTGCAGAGGCTCTGAAAACAAATGAGCTAAGCACAGGCAAAAGATGAAAGCAAGGCCACTGGGGCTGGAGCAGTGAACAGGGTGTGAATTGATAGGTCGTAGGGACTTAGACAGGGCAGGAGATAGTTTATGTGGGGAGTTGTAGGTCCTGGTGAAGTTTTTCAATTTCATATGAATTGCCTTCAGATGCCGCTGGAGAATTTTAAGCATGATCTGATTTATGTTTCAATAAAATCACTCTTGTTATTACTTAAAAGATGTGAAATATGGAGACACAGTGGAAGCACAGGAGTTGGGAGAAGGATAATACAATAAATAGTCTGGCAAGAGAGGATGGGGCTAGGACAACAGTCCAGCCAAGAGAAGTAGCTGGATTTGTATTTCAATCTTGGTTAAATTTCTGGTAGGACTCGGAGTTCATTCTGTGTCATTGTGAATTTTGTTGAGTTTCCTCAAAAGAACTATTTTGACTTTTCTGGCTGTTAAGGTCGTATATCTCTCTCTCCATAATGTTTCACTGGTGACTTACTTAGTTCATCTGGTGATTGCATGTTTTACTGGATTGTCTTGATGCTGATGGGTATTCATCTTTACCTAGGCATTGAGGAGTTAGGTATTTACAGTAGTGTTTGCAGTCTGTGCCTGTTTTTCTTGGGAAGACTTTCCAGGTATCCAAAGGGACTTGAGTATTTTTATCTAAGTTTTTGGTTACTGCAGCCATGTCTGCATTAGGGAGAACCCCATGCCCAGTAACTGTTAGGCTCTTGAAGACTTCTAGAAGTCCTGTCTTTGTGGTTTTGGATGAGATCTGGAAGAATTATCAAGATGATCAGGCACAGACTCTTGTTCCTTCCCCTTACTTTCTCCCAAATAAACAGAATCTGTCTATCTCTAAGCTGAGCTTCTTGGTCTGGGGAAGGGATGACACCATCATGGGGACTGCTCTGAGTGAAGCCCAAAATCAGCATAACTCTGGGTCTCACCTGAGGTCCATGGTAACCACTGCCTGGCTATGTACTATGTTAACTCAAGTTTCTAGAGGTCTAGAATCAGCTGGCGGTGAATCATCCTGGCTAGAATCATCCTGGCTTGTGACCCACCATTCAGGGCATGTTCTTATAACAGTGTGAGTATGGACTAATACAGTGCTGTAACCTACCGTGCCTGAGCTCTTACCTATGCTATAAGACAAAATCCTTTTTACTTTTATCTCTCCTTTTCTCAAACAGAAGGAGTCCCTTCCCCATGGCCCACACAGCTGAGAATTAGGTGTTAGGTCACACCTAAAGTAATCACACTCCTGAGTCTCACCCATGACCCATTGGTGAGTACTGCCTAGGTATCCCTGCTGATTATTCAGGCCCAAGGACTCTTCAGTCAGCAGGTGATGAGTCCTGCTGGGGCTGTTTCCCTTCAAGCAAGAGGGTTTCCTTCCAGCCCAGGGTTTGTTTGGAAATGTCACTAGGAAAGCAGGCCCTGGAATAGGGGCCTCAGTACTCTGCCTGGTACCGTATCCTACTGTGGCTGAGCTAATACCCAAGTTGGAAGACGAAGTCCTCTTTACTTTTCCATTTCTTCTTTTTAAGCAAAAAGAAAGAGCCTCTCCTAAAGCTGCAAGCTGAGTTTTCTGGCATTGGGCTAGGGGTGGCAAAAGCACTCCTTGGCCACCCCTGCTGGCATCTCACTGGGTGGCTTCCCCAACAGGTTCACTGGCTCTGAGCCCAGCACAGTACCAAGACTTGATCAGGAATTGCAAGGCTTTGTGGCTTAGGCTCCCTTTCAAATTTAGGTAGGACCACAGAGTACTTTATTAGCCTGTGGTGATGGGGCTGCCAGATCTCAGGTTCTTGCCACTGGGATTAACAATTTTCCTCTGGCTAGAGCTGGCATAAATGTTCCCTCTGTGAGTGCTCACTGAGTTCTGCTTGGTGTTACCTTCTACTGTGGCAAAGAAGCACTGAGTTCCAATTCAGAGTCCCACAATCACTGCTCTCTCCTTGCCCTAAGTACATAGATTTTCCATGCTACGGTGCTGCTTCTGGGTAGTGGTAGGGGGTGGCATGGTCATCTTTTCTACCCTCTTCAATACCTTTTTCAGTGATGTGAAGTTAAAATCAGGTACTGTAATTACTCATCTCATTATTGGTTCTTATGAAGGTGCTTTTTTGTGTGAATAGTTGTCCAATTTGGTGTTCCTGTGGAGACAATCATCAGTGGATGTTTCTATTTGACCATCTTGCTATGCCTTGACATTCAAGTGTTTTTTTGTTTTTTGTTTTTGCCTACGGCACTCGGTATTCCCAGGTGGTCTCCCATCCAAGTACTAACCAGGCCCGACCACGCTTTGCTTCCGAGATCTGACGAGATCGGGCGCGGACATTCAAGTGTTCTTGATGAGCCATTCTCATTTTAGAGGCTCACTGATTTTTCTTTTCTTTTAACTAACAAACTATTAATAATTTACACCATACAAGTTATTACTTGGCTGTAAATCATTTCATACCAGTATCCAATTATTTGAAATTTATTAGTCTCCTTTCGCCAATAAGAATATAAGTTATTTGATCAATATGGCTCACTACAGTAAAATCAAGGATAATTTATTAAACCATGTTTAATAAAATATTGTTCCAAAGTTTTTCCACAGAGAAGTCACTCCTTATACTTAGTGTCTATCCCCAGTGCCTAACACGTGACTGAGTACATGCACGGTATTCAATAAATGCTTGTTGAACTGATATGGGCAACTATTCATTATTTACCTCAAGTATGTAATTTATTTGATAATGTTTTCAGTGTCTTAAAAGGGAGAAGGACTCACCTAACCTGAATTTTTCTGTGGTAATATATGAACTATGTATGTGAACTTTTAAGAGAGCACTTTCATAAATTTAAGAAATATGTAAAAGTTAGATCATGCCCGAGATTTGTTTTTCAAACTTAAGAAAATAAAATACATCACTAAAGGTATAAATTTTTTATTTTTCTCGTAAAAATACAAGTAAGATACTTTAGTCACTTTTATTTAAAAACCATATAAATTTATATTTGGAAGCTGTTGCTTTCTGGGCTATAAACTATTGTTTATCACTGGTCCTGAGAAAGACCTGTAATAATAAAGTTAAAATGTTATATTTCAAAGCATAATATTTATACATATTGAGATACCATTTATACCATTTTAATTTAGATCTTAAAATATATTTTAATGAATCTACTGATTTATATGAAGTCTTTACGCACACCAAATACTTAAGAATATTCCTCTGTTAGGTATTTGCATCTCTAATCCTGCATTTGAAAAGGGGATTGAATTTTTCTTAAATTCATATGTGATTATGGCAAATAAAATAGACAATTCTGTTGTTCCATAGGTCACTTTCTAGAAAATGTTCATTTAGAATAAGTTTCAAGCAATGTTTCCATTTGTTTCAGTTGTAAATAATGTATTTTCCTTTGTCATTATCAAATTAGCCACAATGCTGATACTGTAATCACTGGCCAAATTAGAATGTTTGTAATATAGACATTTGCAATGATGTTTGTATTTATGATTTTTTCCTGGGCTTTTAGGCATTAATTTTAATTGACTTTCCAAATATTCTATGCTTACTGTAAAAAAAGGAAATAATAGTAGGTATTAACAAAGAAAAAAACCTCATAAATCAACCACTCAGAGATAAATATATTAATATTTTTATATTAAATATTTTAACATTTTAATAGATTTTACCAGTATTTTTACATATATATACTTGGATGCTTTTTTCCATCCTCTAGGATCATGGTAGGTAGAGAGTTGAAAAAATTATATTGCATAGAATTCATTATCTGACAAGACTAGATAGTTTTCTAAAATATAATGTTTAGGTTCGTGCCTGTAATCCCAGTGGTTTAGGATGCTGATATGGAAGGATGGTTTGAGGACAGGAGTTAGAGACCAGCCTAGACAACATAGAGAGATCACGTCTCTATAGTATACACATATTAGGTATATGTTGTGGTGTGTGTCCCTAGTAGCTACCAGGAGGCTGAGATGAGAGGATCACTTTAGGCCAGGAGCTGGAGGCTGCAATGAGCTATGATGGTACCACTGCATACTAGGCTGGGTAACAGAGTGAGACCCTGTCTCCAAATACATATTTGTTACAGAGTGAGATGCTACAGTACGCTATAGGGTCTAGGGTCTCACTCTGTAACAGATATGTATTTAGAGACAGGGTCTCACTCTGTGGTATAGTGTTTACTAACTATATTAGAGCTATATATTCACCTATCTATTTTATTTATTTTTACCACGTATTTTAGATACTGTTGCTACCCATTGTTCTTTTATGTAATAAAACTTTTAACACAAAATTTTGAATATAGCTCTACTTATTCATCACATTACTTATCACAGTAGATTTTAAGTAGAATCATAATCTGCTAAGACTTTTGATCAGTACTTTTAAAACATATTTTTAAAAGCTGTACAAGCTTATACATCCACCTAGGGCCAATAGGTATGTTTCTGTATATATGTGAATATTCACAGCCCCTGGAGTTGTGCAGTATGCAGCCCATAAAACTGAACTGGTGATTTTACTCTCACCTGTAGAGTATACCTGTACCCCTATCGCAATCACTAATAACAAATGCAATAATTTAAACATCATTAATATATGAAAGATTAAAAATAAGCATGTTTCTTATTGAGCACTAAAGTTCAATTGCATTTAGAGATTCTTTAAAAACTGTAGTGTAAAGAATATAGATGTTTGTGTTTTTCTCACTTAGTGGTTTAGAGGAAGTAGAGGTGATTCATGTCTGGCAGTAGCTTTTTCTGCAATGATTTTCCAAAGATTTCTGTGGCTGTAAACTTTTTGCTCTCACCTACTCGGTCTAAGTTAGCACATCACTGCCATCACCATGTCCAAACAGCATTATGGAGGAAAATAACAAAGGGAAGGGAAGTAGAATTTCCTTTCTATTTAAGGGAACAGTGGAGTCTTCTTTATTGAAAAAATTAGTAAATTTGTTTCTAAAACTATTTATATCCATTAGTCAGAAAGTTGTCACCTGACCAAATCTAATTGTTAGAGAAACTGGGCATTATAGTGTTTATTTTGAGTTTGTAAATATCCAGCTGATAACTAGAAACTAAATATTGGGGAAAAAAATTAAAAGTGTTTTGAAGAGTTATTACTCTCTGCTATGCAGAGAAATATTTGATCACTGGTGAGGTTGATATTTCTTCATGAATTTAGTTTCTTATATCAATTGCACATTAGTGCTTTGTGCTATTTTTCTCACAGAAGTATTTTTAAAACTATTTCTTGTAAAGGGCTTTCTGGATAATATCTATGTTAACTTTTTTTTTTTTTTAAATGGCATTTCACTCTTGTTGCCCAGGCTGGAGTCCAGTGGCATGATCTCGGCTCACTGTAACCTCCACCTCCAGGGTTAAAGCGATTCCTCTGACTCATCCTTCCAAGTAGCTGGGATTACAGACACATGCTACCAGGCCAAGCTAATTTTGTGTTTTTAGTAGAGACAGGATTTCATCATGTTGGTCAATCTGGTCTTGAACTCCTGACTTCAGGTCATCCTCCTGCCTTGGCCTCCCAAAGTGCTTGGATTATAGGCATAAGCCACCATGCCTAGCCTATAATATCTGTTGTACTCATTTTGAGTATTTTTCTTATACTACTTTTTATTGATTGGAATTTTAGAGGTCTATGGTTACATTTTTATTACCATTATACTTAGAAAGTTTTTCCATTCCCCGAGATGTTAATATTCATTCATGTTACACTATAGGGTTAAAAAAATTTAAATTTCATTTAAGATTCTATTTGATCTTTATTTTTTTATTTTGTTGTTTGCTAAGACCAAGAAGAAAAATATTCAACTTCAGAGTTTTTTAAAAAATACTTTCCTTTACAAATTTTAAAAATTATTTAACACTAAGTAAAAATTCAGAAAATTTTATATTGTGGCCATATAGTTTATCATTTTTTTGTTTAGTACCTTATATTCCTGGCTTACTTTTTATATAAATATTAAAAAATTATACACATATGCTTTCAAGCAGAAAAATGTTATCCTCCAATATTTAGCAACTTTTTAAAGTTTGTAATGAGTTTTGATGTTTTTCAACTATTTTTAAGATATAGGGACTACAAGTTCAGGTTTGTTACATGGGTACATTGCACCCAGGTAGTGAACATAGCACCCAATAGGTAATTTTTGGACCCATGTCCTCCACCTGCATGTCCCCCTCTGTACTTTGCAGTGTATACTGTTCCCATGTTCATGCCCATGTGTGTTCAATGTTTAGGTCTCACTTACAAGTGAGAATGTGTGGTATTTGGTTTTCTGTCCCTGCATTAATTTCTGTCCCTGGTTAGGATAGTGGCCTCAAGTATCAACCATGCTGCTGCAAATGATATGATTTTATTCTTTTTTGTGGCTGTATAGTATTCCATGGTGTGTATATGTCACTTTTTTTTTTTTTTTTTTTTTTTTTTTTTTTTTTTTTTGCCCATCCACCACTGATGGGCACTTAGGTTGATTCTATGGGTTTGCTATTGTGAATAACAAGGCAATGAACATATAAGTATATGTGTCTTTTTGGTACAATGATCTATTTTCCTTTGCATATATGCCCAGAAAGGGGATTGCTGGGTTGAATGGTAGCTCTGAAATTAGAGAACTAATGAAATTGAGATGCAAGAATTGATACAAAATCAGTAAAACCAAGAATTGATACTTTGAAAAAAAAATAAACAAATTTGATAGACCACTAGCTAGCTTAACAAAGAATAAAAAAAGACGATTCAAATAAGTACAATCAGAAATTATAAGAATGACATTACAAATGATCCCACAGAAATACAAAAGATCCTTGGAGTATATTATGAACAACTCTATGCACACAATTTAGAAAATTTAGAGAAAATGGATAAATTACAGTAAACACATAATCTCCTGAGACTGAATCAGGCAAAGATTTTAAACCATGCATAGACCAAAATCAAGCTCTGAAATTGAGTCAGGGGAAAACAAAAAACAAAAAAACCAAAAAAAAAAAAGAAAACCTACCAACCAAAAAAAACCATGGGCCAGATGGATTCACAGCTGAATTCTACCAGACATGCACAGAAGGGCTAGTACCAATCCTACTGAAAATATTCAAAAAGATAGAGATAGAGGGGCTCCTCCCTAAGTCATTCTATGAAGCAAGCATCAGCATAACACCAAAATATGTCAGAGATACAATACCAACCAAAACTTTAGGCCAATATACCAAATAAACATAGATAAAAAAAATCATCAACAAAATACTAGCATACAAATTCCCACAGCATGTCAAAAAATTTAACCCACCATGATCCATTAGGCTTTACTCCTGGTATGCAAGGCTGGCTTAACATATAGATATCAATAAATGTAATTTACCATATAAACAGGATTAAAAGCAAAAACATGAGATGCTTTCAATAGGAGGAGAAACAACTTTTGATA